TCTCGAATGCATGAATGGCCAGGGCTCTACACTTTCATGGTTATCTTTTTAGGATGAGGGAAACACCTGTTACTCCATGTTCTAAGATGCTTCATGTCAGGAAATTCCCTCAAAGCGTATTTAAGTTCCCAAATGACAACATTAGTGACGTCATTTCTACTTTTCCCATTGTTGCCTCAGTCCATGTGGCACGATGTCTTTTCTTTTTTTGCTGAAGCATAAGCCAGTTGTGTTATGCAAGTTCAGCTTGGCTCTTTGTTGTTTTTCTGCTTGGCCTGTTCATAAAAGTGATTATCACACTTCTGTTTGAGCCCACAATGGAAATCCTTTTCTGTCTTGAACTCTTCTCAGAAACATCAGCTTTGATCTTCCAAAAGTCAATATTGAATTTTTCATTGTACATGTGGCCATATATTTACAGCTTTACTGGAACAATTCCTGCTCTCACCACCGTCACAGTACACTCAATGTGTGACTTTTGCAGGTTTAGCTATTGTTCAAAGTTTTTCTTTGGCATTGGTATGATTCAACGTAGACTGAATTGATGTGGTCCCTCACTATCTGTTTCTGCTCATTTGAAACCCTGGATACTTTGAAAAATTGTCTTGACCCATATATTCCAAGAATATTTGAAGTAGATGACAATAGTTGCTACTAGCATGGATATGGCCAACTGCCACATTCTATCTGACTGCATTTTTGAGCTTTGAAGCTGGTCCAAATGTCAGTCGTGCTCGATTCGCGCAAGATGAATGTTGGACATCCTAAACGTCCACGACACGAGTGGACGGTCCAACTTGGACCACATGAGCCAAATGTTCCTGATGTAAACATGGACCAATCTTGCACAGCCTTCAGACTCTGGATACACAACTCAGGACTTGTCTTTACCTTCTTAGTCCCAGTTCAGGTGAATAAATTCAATTCGACAATTCGGGAAACTTCCATTATACTCCATCCAACGTAGAGAATCCTACCCTCACCCTTCATCTATTGAGCCATACATTTTCTTGAAGTTAACGATGTGCTCCTATTTTGAAACCTTTGGTTGCTTCTGTGGTATTAGATATGGATGCTGAAAAGGGTATCAGATGCTTTTCTCTCATAGGTCTGAGTTCATGCTCTTAGTGTTTGTTTTGCTCATGCAGCCTTTTTGCACAATCCCATGTCCAAAATGTGAGCAAAATCACAGTTTTCATTAGCAGCTTATGTTTAAAGTGTTCATTGTCCATAGTGAAACTACTTGAAACCTGTTCCCCTGGAATTAGAATATAAATAAATTTGTAAATTCAAAAGTGAATGAAAAGTCTAGGCATGAAGTTGTTATGTATTGGTTTTGAAGAAGATGATCAATTGAACAATCCATGTTCTTGAAGCACATGCCTTTCTCAATCGATATGTGAATAAATCCTCTTGTGGAATGCAAGAATCTCAGCAAATTAGCCAAAATCACTGTGGTAAACGAGCACTCCCACATGAGAATTCCATGTATGACAGGGTGCATGATTCTATATGGACATGTATGATCATATATTTGCCATATACCACTATATATATTCATATATTAACAATTGTATGGTGTATACTATATTTTACCTGCATTGGACTATTAAGTCTGATGGGAAAATGGCATCATGTCTGATATGTGGTGAATATCCATAGACAAGTCTTATGGTTGTAAGTGAAACATGGCATAAGGTCTGCGGTGTATTTTGACTAAAGAGTCAGGGGGACAGGGCAGCAGAGTGTGGGCACCAAACCCTGTTCCTGGGATGCCAAGGGGGGGCACCCCCCTGCCCCCTTCCTGGAAAATATGCCACTGCATAATGTTGTTACACATGAGGGCAAATGACCTTCAGATGTCTCTGTAACTAATTTTTAATGCACCCGTTATATTTTGCATGAAATGTTAGCTATGTATAACATTTAAAGTAATTTGCCAAGTGTTTGATTTTGAACCCCCAGCTGAANACAGCTTCTGTCCACCTGGAAATTTCCAGTCAGGGTTTCAAACTGGGCCCTACCCTCTCTAGATAACATAAGCGTATCGAGGATGAAAAAAGTGTGGGAGGAGGGGGGGCACAAGAACTCTGGGACACTGCTATCATGCATTTCATGGATCTTTTTCTTCGTACTAATGTGTTTTTTGTTGTTAAGTGGGGGGCACATGTCGTGCCATGCCTTCATTGACCAATTCCATCATTGGATTATTTCAGGAAGAAACAGGTTTTTTTTTCCCATTAACTTGTGAGTTGTCATTCAAGATGAAGAAGACACCCGTACATGAATAAGCCAAGTTTTGACATGAAATAGCATTACTGATGAAAATACTTGTGAAGATTCAAGTCTATAATATTGAAACTTTCACCTTCATTAACAAGGGTGCATATGTTGAACACCATGAAACATGAGTTCTTGGAGTAATTGACTGTGGTTTATGAACAATTAAAAATGAGTTGATTGCAAGTAAGGTATGGTGACTTGCATATGAATGAGCATACAGTATTTGATGGATTATGGACCCTTTTTGGATACAGGCATGTTTCAGGTAATCTCACCATACATAGATATGACATGGCATATATGGACAGTATATGGTGCATTTGTATGAGCCAATATATGAAAATGCATGGGGTCATATATTTTCCTTCTTATATTTTATGTGACTTGTGTCAAACTTGTGTCATATTTCATATATGGTCTTATATGAAATTTTCATGTGGGCTATAACATAAACAGTTTTGTTCTAGGACTGAAGTGGCATTCAAGTACCTGTTTTCTTACTTTCTCTCACATTGTCATCATGTGTAATTTTTAATAATAACTGTGCATTTCTTTCACAGACTGTCTCCTTGATGCTGGGGCTTAACTGCCATTGGAAATGCGACGGGCACCTCTTCCTCGTCTAAAGTGGGCATGGGAGAAGTAGGGGGGAGATTATAGACAAAGTATCACTTGCAGAATTGCCTTCATGACTGCCTTTATTCAGTTCTGTACCTGTGAAGGTCTGTTTTACCATCCTCTTTGTCTGGCATTTTGCATGAGTTTTTCTCAGTTTAAAATAATTCGTGTTGACATCTCATATCCCCATGTAAAAAAATAGGTAGGTCTCACTACCACCCAATTCTTCATTGATTGAGGAAAATGGCTATGAGGTGAGCCAGGGACTCCAGTCAGGGGGCATTGTGCTTCTGTTGTGAAACTGTTGATTCCTTATGAATGCCTCTTCATGTTATTGCCAGGGCTGGATTGTGCATGGCAATTAAGTCTCATTTGAGTTACATGCAAAAAATTTCATATTCATAGATGACCATCATCTGCCGGAAACTTCCACCAAGTACTCGCATAGACAAAAGTAAGCTCATGAGGACAACCCCGTGTGCCAATATACTCAACATGATAGCTGTGCAAACTTGACCAAAGAGGAGAAGTTCTGCCTAGGCCTGTATGACATAAATGCACTGTCCTTGCTAAGCGAGTATGGTGTGTTTGGAGTCTTGGTTCATATCTACATAGCTTTCAGTCACTAGCCATCATGGGTGCTAATATTGGTGTTGATCCCCCATGGTGTCAAAATCAAATCTATCAGTGCAAACAAGCAAATCAATGAAATCATAAAACCCCATTGAATTCTTTTTCTTTTGGCACAAACACCAGGGTTCCTGTCCAAAAAGTGAAAAAGTTATTGCAATTATAAAATAGGGAGTTATTTTCCAAACACCTTATAGATCAATGGGCAATTGGGGAATCTGCAGTTTACATATTCTCAGATGCAGATACCTTTCTCTAGGATTGACTTAAAAGTGATGGTTACCTTTAACCCTTATCTGGGCAAGGTATTTTTGTGACACAAATGAGCAAGGCCAAACATTTTTAGAATTTTTTTGCTTAAAAAGAAATCCAAACTTTAAAAGTTCGTTTCTGAATCTATGGATGACTGTCTATGAAACCCATATCAAATTTGAAGAATATTTTGAAAAATTTGCAGAGAGTAATGAAATGAAATATACCCTGGGGAATCCAATGGACTCCCCTTGCCCGGATAAGGGTTAAACTAGAGTTTTGAATCAAATGACGAAGGGAAAATAATACTATATTATCAACTGAAGGGATTTATGCAGTACACAATACAAACCATGAACAGGAGGTGGAAATTCTGCTATAAGTGCTTCAACATGAAGCGTAGATTTTCTCTTTCTCAACATCATTCTTTAGTAAGACCCCATCATCAGGCCTGCCCAGGGGTGGATTTGGGACAATCTTCCCAGAGCCTTGTGTCTTGAGGGGTCCCAATGTGGTGGCCTCTGATAATACCCTATCCCAAGGTCCCAAAAGGACCCATCCAGCCAGACTCCATCCATAGAGTGGGCTCAATGGGGCCTCTAGTTTGTTTTGCCTCAGGCTACTGGAAACATCTGTTGTCATAATGAAGAGGCCTACTAAAATGGGAGTGATTTTTGCTTTAATTGGAGTTGTAAGGAGGATTATTTTTTTTTCATTTTGCACTTGCTTGATCTTGACTGTGTGCTTCCTTCCACCCTACATCTTGGTGTAATAAAATTCCTCCCTTTGCCTACATTTCTTTCTAGCTATTAACCATCAACCATCATTGCTATTAATCATTAACCATCTATGTTTTTTTTTAAATATAACTGGGATCATAGCTGATGGCTTGAAAATTGCTGGGGGAAGCCCCAAAATCAATATCTCAATGAAATGAAGTTACTTTTTTATGACTAGTATACAGCAGTCTCATAGCTAACTTCACTACTGTGTTATATGTCTCCAGCACCATTTCCCAAAAGTGTTTCACAAAAACTGACCCAAAATTAATTTAATCTCCTTGCATTTGTTTGATAAGGAGATCATCCATCAATGAATATGTTTTATTTCAAGATTCCAATTTCACAATTCATTCAGCAAGTCATTTTTACAGATATTTTCAACTTCAGGCATCCATTTCAGCATAATTTTGTGATCCTGTTTCTCTTCCATGCAGGGACTTCCCCGTGAAGTGCGGCACAAATATCCAGCTGGTCGTTCGGGTCGAGCAGACACGCACCTTCCCTCGTGAAGGACATCACCGTGGCAAGAGGTCTTACACCCACTTCAAATGGGTAGGCATGGGCGAGTTGTGGGTTGCACACTTGACAATATGGAATAACATTGCAATAGAGATTTTTGCAATGGACTTATTGTCTTTGTGGTCAGTATGGGTAATTGAGTTATATTAATGTGGTTATTTCCTTTGTACAGCAAGAAGTGCATGGAAAAAGGAGACAGACCAGAACTCAGAGATTCTCAGCGCCTTCTCCACACACGAATGACCGCTTGTATGCCGTTTCCTTCTCGAATGCATGAATGGCCAGGGCTCTACACTTTTATGGTTATCTTTTTAGGATGAGGGAAACACCTGTTACTCCATGTTCTAAGATGCTTCATGTTAGGAAATTCCCTCAAAGCTTCTTTAAGTTTCCGAATGACAACACTAGTGACGTCATTTCCACTTTTCCCATTATTGCCTCAGTCCTTGTGGCATGATGTCCTTTCTTGTTTGCTGAAGCATAAGCCAGTTATTTTATGCAAGTTTAGCTTGTCTCTTTATTGGTTTTCTGCATGGCCTCGTCATAAAAGTGATTATCGCACTTCTGTTTGAGCCCACAATGGAAATTCTTTTCTGTCCTGAACTCTTCTCAGAGACATCAGCTTTGAGCTTCAGAAAGTCAAGGTTGAATTTTTCATTGAACATGTGGCCATATATTTACAGCTTTATTGTAACAATTCCTGCTCATGTTTCCATTCCAAGTCATGGTTTTTTTGCTGGTTCAGCTCTTGTTCAAAGTTTTTCTTTGGCTGTGGTCAACATGGCATCAACATGGACTGAATCGATGTGGTCCCTCACTATCTGTTTCTGCTCATTTGAAAACCTGGAGACTATGGAAAATTGTCTTCACCCATCTATTCCAAGAATTTTTGCTACAAGATTCTCGTCATTGTGTGCTGTGTATGCTGACTTTTGGCTTGTTGCAGGGTTCCCCAAGAAGACGTTCATTCCTACTTGAATCTTTAGATCTCAAACAATCTGTAAGTACATGAAGGCAAAACTCTTCCTTGACACTTCCAAACAAGTTGCTCTCCTCTCTGTTTTGCACCAATCTGTTTTCCTTGGAAGAGTTACATTTCCTTCTGAGAAAGTTTGGAAATTTTCAAAAATAGAGTCTGTTTTTCACCTAGAGAAATGTTCCCAGTGCATTTAATTTCTCAGGAGTACTCACAGTTCTTGAGATTCTTCACCTTCTTCATTGGGGCCAGCTTTCTCCTCCTGCATTCTGCTTATTAGCCTGATGCTTCTTGACCTTGGTGTTTCTCTTCTCTCTCTCTGGCATCTGCTTTTGCTTCTGATGTCTTCCTTTGACTGGTAGAGGCTTGGTACCATGCTCTTCTTCGTTGTCATTGGAGTCTATGAGTCTCTCCATCTCTGGAAAACAAATGTTCTAAAAAGAAATTGCCATGTGCTACAAATGCATTATTGAAATATAAGTGAATTATGAGAAATTTCCCTTTATGACATTTGCTGTAAACAGTTTTGGCTTCCAGAAACACCTGAGAGCACATCAGAGAATGCCTGAAATCTTTCCATAAATGCTAAGAGGTGTCCATAGACTTATGTCTTTTGTGATGTGCACTTGAGTGTTTTTCTGGAAAAATTGTTTCCTCTGTACCTTCTGTGAAGGGTGTCATCATCTGAAATCATGAACTTCTGAGAGTTTACTCACACCACAGTCAATTGAAATACAAATTTTTAAATAACCCTTACCTGTGCCATCATTGTTTTGCTCATTATTTAGTTGTGATGTGAAGTCTTATCAGGTGGTTTCAGCTGTAGCAACAGATTTAATAGGTTGTTGACAAAAGAGAGCTGCTGAATCTGGATCATAAACTAATTAGAAGTATTGTGAATGCGGTTGCCTCCTGTCCTGGAACTAAATTTTAATCTTGAAATATAATGAATTCCAGTCTTACTGAGGGAATTAACACAAATCCAGCGGATGTCATGAATTTGTTTTGTATGTGAATATCATAATATCTCTTTGCATGAAAATGACATTTACAGTATCAATATAACCATAATAAGCTAAGTTGATGATAAAAGGTGACATGCACCAAATCTGTTTAAGCTAAACTAATTGGATCTCACAATGCCTTCCTATGGGAATCAGTTTGACTGAGATAAACTTATTTGTATAGATTCCCACTATGAAAACTAATCAGTTTAAAATTAAACAAATCTGTCACCCATTTGTCACAATAGTTGGATGGACACAAGTTGGTTCTCATTAGTAGATTTTGAGGGTGTTGCAGCCATCAGCCTGCAGTAGTCACAACCTCTTTGCATACTTTCCCAAATCCAGCTCTAAGTTCTTCATGGATTTGATAGTTGGAGGGGAGGTGGATATCCCCATCCATGGACCTGGAGCAAATTATCCAGCAGATTGAAACTGTAGAAGCACAGGCTCTGAAAGAAGATTGTTCTTGGATGTCCTTTGCAGTGGGTGACCTCAAGTGTGATCTCCAAGTCTCAAGAATGTGACCTTGCAGTTCCAAGATGGAGAGCATCATTGCCCTAAGAATCCTGTCTGGGTCTTCCATCCCTCGTGAAGAATGATGTCTCGGGTGGAGCTCTTCGTCGAGGATGATGCCTTGAGTGAGTTTTGGTTCCTTCTTTGCGGATACATATTTTGCTTGAGTGCTCCAGCTGCATGCAGAATCATATAGGGTGATAATAGTTCCCACCTGGCCAAGTACATCCAGCCTGTTTTCAAAGATACAGTTTTTTACAGGGTGTCCCATTTTGAGATTTTACTAATGAATTGCAATGAACAACACAGATAAATGGATGGAAGAAGCTGATACTTGGCATGCAAGCTACTGGCAGCATGGGCTTCTCAGAATGCAAGAAACAAGCATCAGAAAGTGAAGTTAATTTCTTGCAGATGTTTGGGTAGGATGAAGCTAGTTTCATTATTGATGGGAAGAGAGAGTTTCCATATATGGTAGACTTGCCACAAAAGGACACAGTTTAAATGAGGCACAAATGCCACAGCGATTGATCACTCGTTTCTCTGAGAAAGCCTTTGAGAAGCATATGCTGTCAGTAGTTTCGATGCCAAGTTTCAGCTTCTTCCATCCATTGGTTTGTGTTTTACATGGCCATTCATTAGTAAAATCTCAAAATGGGTCACTCTGTTCAGGGTAGGCCAAAAATCCGTCTACACTTAATAAACATTTAGTACACCAAAAAAGTCATATTAAATCATGTTAGTCCAATGGATCTGTGTGCACCATCTTGTCAGCAAAACTGAATTTTGTGCCAAGTCCTAAGGCACTTTTTTTTCATATCAACAGTGCATGAAATTCAATTTAATGTAAACAGACGTTTTGCCCACCCTGTACATAGTAAAAGATGATTCCATTGAAAGTTAATATCCATAAATGTTGAACTGTATCAATTCTCACACTGTATTTTTGGAAACTGCATGGCTTGATATTGAACATCTTTTTTTTCTTGTTTTTCTAAAGGAAGCGTTATAACATTAGGACAAAGAATCATGATCCTCATGCTAACCTGAATTAGAATGTGAATAGGCTGAGGGAAACAGGTTGTACAAGTGAGCGGAACATGCAACACAGGACAGTCCCATTTCTGCATATTCTGTGAATTTTGGCAGTGGAGGGAGGATGACAGGCATGCCTGCCATCCACATTGAAACGATATCGACCTGCGAAGGATGCAGGAAGACCTGCCATAAGGTGCACAGCGACGCCTTAAGGTATTGTCTTTTGAAATGAATCCTTTGCGAACGATTGCATCCATTAGTAATGAATCCAGCACGAGTTTCTACTGTATATCACATCAATCGGAATTCCTGAGGCTTGCATGGAAATGCTTAATGACTCAGTCAAAACAACCATTGTTGAAAGTTGACGACCGAACTAGTTTTACTTGTGTGGCTATGTCATGAGAAGGTCTTGCATATATAGTATTATTGCCTAGTCTTTATTGTGTTTATAAAGTTTCCCATCTTCACGGTGTGAGAAACACGAGTTCGAGAAGGATGTGATTCACATTTGCAACCTATATGTGAATGAAAAAGTCCGGTCGGCCGGTGAAGTTACTTCTCCGTTTCGAAAGGCTCTGTCTTCATTATGGAGCGGCCTTGAAACTTCATATACGGCGTATGGGATGTACTGGCAATAGGATTTATGGAAGCATAGTTTCGATAAATTTTCCAAAAAGGTTTCCGCATATCACCACCAGGACGGCACTGTACCGGCCAGAGACACGGCGCCACCGTCGCTCCGGATGAAAGCGGCGACAAACGTCCAGTCCCTATTTCTATCATGACAATAGCTAGTAACGGGCAATGTTTACAGGCTCGAAATGAACTTGTTCGGGGGTATTATACCAAGCAAGGGAGTTCCTTCTGGTTCTGAGGGAGTACCGATGTCCTCACCGTCTACGCCATGAACCAATGAACCCATTTCCAGCAACGCATACTTCCCTCTCATCCGGAAGTTCGAAAGGACGGGTAGTTTTGCGGACGCTCTGCGCACCGGTCAGCCCTCGACGGCAGTGGAGGTGATGAGATCTTGTACAAGACGTCCCCCACTGAGAATATGTGTTGCCAGACAGACAGGGATACCGAAATCGACATCTTCCAGATGCAACGCAATACCTTGAGAATGTACTAGTACAGAATACGGAGGGTGCGTGTATTGAAACCATGCGACTGCGACGCTCGGATGGTATTCGCACAGCAGTTCCTTGCACGAGTGGAAGCCGAGGATCAGTGGTTGAGAACATCCTGTGGTTAGACGAGGACCACTTCCATCTGCACGGCCAGGTCAATGCCCATAATTTTCTCGTCTGGGCACCCAACGTCTTCCAGGAGCAACCACTGGAGGATGTGAAGATAATCGTTTTGGCTGGATTCACCAGTAGCCAGATTATTGGCCCCTATTTCCTGGAGAAGATTACTCCAAACGGTTACCATACCGTAACTGTGAGAGCTGAACGTTACCTAACCCTCTTAGAAACGTACGTCATTACGACGCTTCGGGAGAGAAGTATTGTGAACAAGACAATCACAGGACGGCGCCCCTCCACACGTTAGGAGACATGTGAAGTCTCTTCTCCATCGTATCTCCCAGGACCGTGTCATCGGCAAAGTCTTGCCATAGGCCTGGCTGCAAAGGTTACTGGATCTTAAACTTTCAGACGCGCCTGTGGGATTTCCTGAAATTCAAAAAAGTTTACAGTGGCCGTCCTGCGAACTTCTTGGAACCCAAGTAATCCGTGCAGGGGTAGATTGTGTCGCTTTCGTCAAACGAATCGGTTTTTCTATCTACTACCTCGTCATTGCAAGGATGGAAGAGAATGTGAAGCAAGAGGTGGCTACAAGTCTGATGCCGTCCATGATGATAGTGGTTAGAGTGGTTAGTGGTCTAGTGGTTGGTGGTTCCAAATTTTTTTAAAACTATCACTATCAAGAATCCTATTGGAAGTACATCCTCAACCCTGAATATGACGTATCTACACCGTTCCACTATAGAGAAAGGGCCATTTGTAAAAAGGAAGTAACTTTGGGAACACACTATATTTCTTATATGCCATACGACGTCGTTTTTTTGCTCTTTCGTGAAAATATGTATCCAACCCATCCTGGTGGACTAATAGCAGTTCTTTCACCTATGCATATTATGAGGGAGTTGGCGGAATGTGCAGGTATCTGCGTTTTTGCGAACGTTTCCTGAATCTGAGAAGTTTTTTCCGCATAATACGATAGAGCTGTGAAAGGCTGATACATTTTTCAAGAGACTTGGCGGAATCTGCAGGTATCTGCGTTTCCTGAATCTGGGTGGTTTTTTCCGCATGATGCGATGGAGCTGGTAAAGGCTGATTTGCTGCTGTCATTGTCCATTCCGACCCATATTTTGAGAGAGTTGGCGGAATCTGCACGTATCTGCGTTTTGGTGAACGTTTCTTGGATCTGGGTCGTTTTTTCCGCATGATGCGATAGAGCTGTGAAAGGCTGTTTTGCTGCCGCATTTGTTCATACCGATACATTTTTCAAGAGAGTTGGCGAAATCTGCACGTATCTGCGCTTTGGCGAACGTTTCCTTAGTCTTAGTCGTCTTCTTCGCATGATGCGATAGAGCTCTGAAAGGCTGTTTTGCTGCTGTCATTGTCCATTCTGACCCATATTTTGAGAGAGTTGGCGGAATCTGCAGGTATCTGCGTTTTTGCGAACGTTTCCTGAGTCTGAGTCGTATTCTCCGCATGATGCGATGGAGCTGTGAAAGGCTGTTTTGCTGCTGTCTTAGTCCATTCCGATCCATATTTTGACAGATTTTGCCGAATCTGCAGGTAAATGCGTTTTTGCAAGCGTTTCCTGAATCTGGGTCGTCTTTTACGCATGATGCGATAGATCTGTGAAAGGTTGATTCGCTGCCGCATATGTTCGTACCGATACATTTTTCAAGAGAGTTGGCGGAATCTGCACGTATCTGCGTTTTGGCGAACGTTTCCTTAGTCTTAGTCGTCTTCTTCGCATGATGCGATAGAGCTGTGAAAGGCTGTTTTGCTGCTATCATTGTCCATCCCGACCCATATTTTGAGAGAGTTGACGGAATCTGCAGGTATCTGCGTTTTGGCGAAGGTTTCTTGGATCTGGGTCGTTTTTTCTGCATGATGCGATAGAGCTGTGATTGGCTGATTTCCGGCTGTCATTGTCCATTCCGACCCATATTTTGAGAGAGTTGGCGGAATCTTCTGGTATCTGCGT